AGAGAGAGAGAGAGAGAGAGAGAGAGAGAGGAGAGAGAGAGATTAGAGACATACATACATTCATAGAGAGGGGAGGAAGTGGTCTACTACCAGCAACTTCCCTTTGCATACCCTGAAACCATCACTCTTCATCACTCTCATCCGTGAGCTCCTCATCAGTAGTGAACTCTGATTCCTCCCCTTCATCTTTCCCTACGTCATCCTCCTCATCCTCCTCGTCACTGGAACACTCCTGCCACTGTGGATGCTCTGTTGGGATTTCTCGAGCCTCCTTGACATCCAGCTTGATGTCGTGGTTTTGGTCAAGGCCCAGGTACGAGTCTGACCGAAGGCAGACCTGGTACGTGTAGAGACCTGGCTTCTGGGGCGCCGTAAACTTGAGCTGTACCTCTTCATGGTCCACAAGATTTGTGATCTACCGAGTCAGAGAGATATTCGAGGTAAGTATTCATCAACAGAAAGTAATGCAATCTAACATTTGTGATTTTATAGAGAAGCTTAGTAAAAAAAAAAAAAAATTGAGTAAAGAAAGAAAGAAAAAAAAAATTACTCTGAACTACCTCAACTAGACCAATTAAATGTAAATATATCATCATGCTCTGGACACACAGGCAGCCACATTTGCCAAAAGATTAACCCAATGCTAACAGGCATGGCATATACGTACATGCCTTGCCCACTTTATTAATTGTTTTTACTTATATATAGCTACACTTGTACAAAGTCACCAATGAACCAATTACAAGTACTGCATGTCTTGCCCATTTACCCTTTTCTACATTTTGCTTTTTTTTTTTAAGTTGTCTTATTTTGCTGTCACTAAAATTTGTAATATCATAGTAATTATGATGTCAATAATAAAAATAACACCATCAATATTGATAGCACAAGTAAAAAATATGTTTTTCCCACCTATTCAAGGAAAGGTGAAATTAGGTAAGGTTACAAGGTCTACTTATTGACTCCTTTAAGGCTAAGCACTAGCAGAGCCATCTATTTGCAGAGACATTTCACAAAAAGAGTACAGTGTTTTTCCTGGGAGCATGTGGTTAATAAAGAATAACCTCAGTTGAGCGGCTGGTATTATGTTCAATTTTTATATATTACACAATAAACCCCAAAAGATATGTACTACAAATATATATCAAAAGGCTCTGAATTATTTTGCTCAATTCAGTAATTTTTTTTTTTTTTTATGATAATGGAAGTGTAACCTAAGTTGAGATATTTAGTTTAGTTTCATAAGAGGAAAAAAAAAATCACAAAAGATTGAAAACCATAGTTTTTTGCCTCTCATTCAATTGTATTTCATGATCTAGGGAATTTTATACTTCTAAAAATTGCATCTTCCCAGGAAATTGTTATAAATAAATAAATCAAAATCAAGTTTTCCATTAAAAAATTACATCTATACGAAATTAATTATTCAAATACAGCATTTCAAGGCTTATTTATTATGTAAAAATATACCTTATTTTCGTTTTATTTTTATTACTAACAAATCCAAACTTCCTCACATTTATCAAATAAAATGAACAAGATGTGTTTAGCATCAGAGATAAATGCAAACCTTTGCATACAAGAATGAGTTTTACCATTATTAGACTTTTAGTATACTCTTTTATTTGTCTTTAACACAACACATCACTGATGATGTGCAAAAAAAAGGGCACTTTCTTCTTTATCTGTCAAAAATTGGTTGCCCTTCTGCCTAGGACTGCCAGGAAAATATGTCTACCAATCTATAATCTGGGAAATCCACATTTCCTACAATTGCTAATGTTTAAGCCCCAAATGCATACTTGAATTAAATTAAATACAGTACTACCATTGTTATAATTACCATTATGCTCATTATCATCAATAAATTCATTATCATCATTCTTATCTTAATCATATACTGTATAATATCAACTATTGCTCTCACAAATGAAATGTATATCAATGGACATAAAATAATTCCTTGCTAACCATCAAATAGTAAATGTGCTGAAAAATCTATTTAACTTTCCTTTGAAAAGAAAATACACATTTTCTTCTCTTTCAATGACAACTATATAAGCCAATTTAACCAAATAGGAAATTCTGAAGTGACTTTACAATTATTTTTGTAATTTTAGCTGCGACTTTGCATGAAGTCATATATAAACCCACAGAACAGTATTTACCAAATGGGTATTGGATCACTTTTAGTTCCACATCCACTCAACTTACACTGTTTACCCAACCCTTCTATTTCTTTCCATTCTGTCTCTTACACTGTCTGCATCCTTTTCCTATTCTCATTATCCCTTTATTAACCTTAATGGCTTAATTAACCTTAATTCCTTCACAGAAGCACAAGAGGCTTTTGCATACAGACACACATCTTCACTACCCACCAGATTCACCCCCCCCCCTCCCTCAAAAAAAAAATAAATAAATAAATAAATAAAAAAAAGAGAGAGAGAGGTTTTTGCATACAGACACACATCTTCACTACCCAACAGATTCACACCACCCCCTCCCTCCCAAAAAAATAAATAAACAAATAAATTAATCCATTCATTAAAAAATAAATAAAAACAGTAGATCATCTACAAGTATGAGAGGCTGCATTCTCACCAAATATGGGGCTGTGATGAGCATGTGCTTCTTGCGATCACACACATAGGTCCACCAATATTCCTGCTTGTCCTCCGGGAAATAGGGGCAGTGCACCGTATGGGACATCTTGGACTTCCCCTCCAGCGCTTTCTCCCGTTTGGTCAGTCCTCTTTGTAACCTCTCCCACTCCGCATCGTCGTCAACAGCAGTCTGGTGGATTAGATGATGAAGTTAGCCAACATTAAGGTATTCCATTCCAACAACAAATGCTCAGATACAAATGTTAAGATAAATGCTAAAATTGATACAATGCTGACAGGACACCTTCCAACCATAGGGAATGAGGAGGGAGGGGAAGAAAGCAAAAAAAATCATATCTGTACATGTATTATATATTTAGATTTACCTTGTCATCCTTATGTGACTCTGTGTCTGCCTCTTCAGCTACTGACTCATCAGAATGAGATGCAGATTCATCATCATCAGTTTCCTCTTTCTCTTCTGCCTGTTTTTCCTCCAAATCTTCCACCCGTGGAACTTGCACCATAGGGTTGTCAGTTGCCAAAGCTACTGTTAAATAATAATAATAATAATAATAATAATAATAATAATAATAATAACAACAATAATAATAAAACCACTAATAATATCAAGAACAAAAAAGTTATAAAGACAAATGAATATCTTTCCCAGGAAAGAGAGATATCTGACCTGTTTTGACCATATCTTTGTAAGAAAATTTAGAATTACATGTATGTCTGATGAAGATATAGTTAAAACCCATCAAATACATCTCTTGTGAACTGAACACTGTTTTTCAAAAACAACAATTATAACAATAGCAATTAAAATACTACCAACAATACCACCACCAAGAATATTCAATTAATCAAATAAACATACATAAAACCCAGTAAAACAGTTCTCATCACTTGGTAAACATTCCTCAGATCCTTATAAACATCTATCAAATCCAGTTATATAGTTACCAGACTCTGCTAGACACCTACTTAAACAATTAAGTGATGGTTACATTAGTCTTTGTCTGTCCGGGGGATCCCTAGACAGCCACAGCCTGTGTCTGTCAGCTACAAGGCAAGATTTTTCACACTATGCACAGTGTACCCCCCATATAGAAACATCATCCCAGAAAAGACCAAAAAGTCTACAATAACTTCCTGGATGAACTATGCTTGGAAGATGGTTCTGGATTCTATAAATATCATCACTTACTGATTGAGAAAATTCAAGAAAAAGACAGTAAAGACAGTGGGCATGGCAAGTACATACATGCCATGCCCACATAGAAGGCTATACTTGTATTAAGTCACCAGTGAGCCAGCTATGAGTAATGCCTGTCTCGCCTGTTCACCCTGTTCATCAACTAATGAAAATATTTTACTATCTTATTTTGCTTTTACAAATGCTTATAACATTATTCTAATTATAATGTTTATAATAAAAATAACACCCTCAATATTTATGGCACAAGTAAAAAATATGTTTTTCCCACCAATTCAAGGAAAGGTGAAATCAGGTAAGGTCTCAAGATCTACTAATTGACTCCTTTGTGGCTATGCACTAACAGAGCCATCTATGTACAGACATATTTCACAAAAATCTAAAAAATGAGCACAAGATTTTCCCCATTTTTTACTCATTTCCCCTGGTGGCAATGGGTTAATCATCATACAGCCATGCCAGCTATACCCTATATCTGAAGTGAAATAGAAAATACAACAGTATTCTTTCCAATAGCATATACTGCTCTTAGTGTAATCAGTAATGTATAAGAGATGTAATTATGGACCAATAAAAAAATAATGTTAGGAGGAGGCAAATACTATAAATGAATATGAGTAAGATATCAGTAATTGTCAATCGAGAGACAGCCTTGTCAGCCATACAATCATACTCCGTGCAAAGAAAAGTTTCTTGTTGATTTCACCCATTATTGTTATTTTTAACTTTCCTGATATTTGTGGATGGTATTCCATTACTGTTTATTTCTACAATACAACTGTACCGAATATATAATAAATCATCAATTTGACAACAAAGCAATAAGCTTCCTAATAACTGCACTATAGTTTTTGTTTTGGCAACTGCTTTTACTCTCTAGCTAGGGCAAAAGACCCACAGTGGTGACCCTTAAACAGGGATTCTCATCTCAGTTCCTTTCACAGCTAGAGAAGCTGTAAAGGAATCCCTGAACAGAATAGACTAGGGTGACTGCCCTTTTAAGAAACAAAGTTAAAAATTCATCATCCCTTAGAAAACATCCATCAAACCCTGCCAAACATTTAGCAAGCCCAGCTAAACATTTATCCATCCAAACTAAAGATTAATCAAACTCAGCTAAACATCTATCAAACCTAGCTAAACAATTATTATGCCTTGATATCTACCAAACCTAGTTAAATATTTATCAATCCCAGCCAAACATTAACCAAACCCACTTCAACACTTAAAATCCCTTGCTAAGAATCTACCAACCCAGATAAACAAGTTATTCTTTCTTTTCTCATCAACAAACATTAGCATGGAAACTATATTCTCCTACTGACAAATACTGCTACTGCAACTGATACAACAACAGACCTAGGTTCTCCACCTTTCTCTTTCTTCCCATCCTGAGGTGCTTCCTCTTTCTTCCCAGGCTGCACCTTCTTCTTCGCCGGCTGTACAGCTTTGGGCTTTGCTTTCGTAGCCTTCTTCAGCTGGGGTCTCTTCCAGCCAGGTTTTTTGGTCTGAAGAAAAAAAAACATACAAACAATAACATTAAGCAATCAATTAATAAAATAATAATAATAATAATTGCCCTTGAACAGCTTTGAAAAGGCATGAGATGTATATATCTTTGTCAGAAAAAACAAGTATTTTTAAAACAGGTTAAATAATCTCTTATATTGTGAAGATATTCATTCTCATTCATACCTTTTCAAAGCTGCTCAAGGCCAATCATTTTTAAGTTATTAACCCAATGTCTGTAGATTTACTGTCACCTTTAGATTCCAGTGAGTTTTGTTACATACATACGTGTGCTCAGCAGCAAGGAGTCTATCAGTTGGCCCAAGTGATCAATCCTGATTTCCCAATTCCTTTAATTGGCTGGAAAATGCGTTTTTCTTTCCAATACTATTAATATTGACTTCATCATTCTTCTTGATATTATGATTATTAAATTGTTTTTAAAATAACATCAAAGACAATAAAATAATAAAAGTAAACCTTTCAAAAAATGAAGGAAAAGGGTAAACAGATGGAATAGCTAAGACTAATAGCTGACTCCTTGGTGACTAGGCACTTGTAGAGCTATCTATATGAAAAGACAATAGATAAACTTCTTATTACAGTGGGCATGGCACTGTAGTCTTCCCACCAGCTGACATTGGGTTAAATGATTGTAGTTCTGATGAAGATACAATCAAAACAGATTAAATACATCTCTTGTATTGTGAAGATCTTCATTATCATTCATGGCTTTTCTACTTTTGTTGCTAGGAATACGGTTCAGCAGATTTGATTATTCCAGGTTCATACATGTGATGTACAAAACACTGCAAAATGCCAACACGTCAGTTTTTTTTTTCAAAAAGAGCGAAAGTCTTGAAAATCACAGGAAATAATCTGGCAAAATATGGTTTGATACAAATACTTTACATTCAAACTGCTGGAAAGATTTCTTCTTACAAATACACTTTAAACCACAAAATCAATTTTAGAGGATACTTTCTAAATCATCCAAAATGCATAAATAGTATCAAAGTGTAACATAATCATGCAGAATCCCAAAATATTTGTAAACAAATGTCATTCAAGCAACCAGATCCATTTTTGATTTAGGAAAATTCCAGCAGAAACGTAGAGAGATACCTGCATTCAATTCCTACTTCTCAGACCAACTCTGAAAATTAAAGTCTTTGCTTAATGACATAATAAATGTAATAGAATAGAATAAAAGTCTACTCACTGATGGCTCCTCTTCAACAGCTGCCGGAACTTCAGGTCGATAATCGAGGCTTATCGGCTGGTTTTCATAAAGTTCCTCTAAGGCTCGACGCCGCAAGTTCACAGTGACGGTAACAATAGCTCCAGCAGTAAACACTCCACTGTCATCATCATCGACCACTAGGAGGGGGGGGGAGAAAAAAAAAATTCAGTTTACAATATCATAGTCAATAACTAAGTAGGTTTCCTTTTATCCTGATGTTTATTTGTGCCAATTCCGTCTTCCTTTCATTGGTGCAGGGTATAAAAAAATAAAATAAATAAATAAATAAAAAAATCAAAGAAAAAAAGACCATCTAGAAATAAATGACTGAATAAAAACAGAATCAAAAGAGAAAGTTAACAAATAAAAAGAAACCAAAAAATTACTGAAAAAACAATTATGAGCCGTATAATATGAAGACAGACAGGAAGTATATTTCTTACCTTCATAGTTCACATCCATATCAATATGTGGCATCTTTCTGGACACAGTCATAATGTCATTGACCTCCTCCTCAGAGAAGAGCGCAAAATGTGATGTCGTTCAGCAGGAGGACATGCCAACAATTGTTCTGGACTATTCAGAGATCTGCGTTTGCTTGCAAAGTGCCTATCAGTGAGGAATTACCTTTATTAGTACATTCTTTAAAAATGATATACCTGATCACTCTCAAATGTTAGATATGATGGAAAAATAGTAAAGAATGAACTCTATTATTATGACATTATAAATAAAAAACAGTTTTGTAGCAAATGACATGAAAAGGCATACCAACCTGAGTGTTTCATCACTGACATGGGGCAGCTGAAGCAATGCGTTCTTGCTTTCCCACAATCCCTGAATGATGTGTGGGCATAGCTTCATGCAGGCCTCAATGGTATCCAAGGACGGCAGGCGAGAGATGCGACCTGCATGAGCCAACATGATCAGCTGAGACACACATGTGACCATCTCGTTGATGAGTGTTGGGCAGCATCTGCAACAATTGGTACGAGATATTATAGATTCCTTCAAGAAATCAATTTTTGCAGCAAGCAGCAAGTAAAGGCAAAACATATACAGATAGTCCCCTCCTTACGAACATTCCATACATACAAACAAATTTTTAAAAATACTTCAGTTCAAAAAATTGTTTGAAAAGATGCTAGCAAACTTCAAAATTCCCGGGTGCGAATATAGTTCACGAGTCTGCCGTGCTCACTCAGCTGTGTGCCTCACTCACCTGCCCTACCATCATAAACACAAAAGCATCTGTTCACTGAGTCCTCACTGAATCTTATCGATTGGTTCGCCAGCCAGTCACCAATGCAATATATTTTCTTTTTGAATAAATTATGATTCTACATTAAAGTTATATGAATTACCATCAAATAATATTAAAAGCATTACATATTACAGGTACTGTATAAGGTATGTTGTACTTATTGAGATTTATGTACAGGTATTCTTAATGTAAACAAAACTTTAAAACAATGGGAAAAAAGGCAATGGAGATCCGACTTTACGAATAAATGGCGTCATGAACAGCCTCTCAGTCCCCATTTTGTTCGGAAGTTGGGGACTTTCTGTAGAGGGAGCCTGAATTAAAGAAAAAGTGTCTAGACATTAACCCATTGCCGCCAGGGATGGCATGTATGTACATGCCATGCCCACTGTGAGTCGACTTGTTCGATTGTTTTTACACATAAATGGCTACACTTGTACTAAGTATCCAATGAGCCAATTACGAGTACTGCCATTCTCACCCATTCACCCTTTTCATCGATTTACGAAAATATTTAACGTTATACTAATTTGCTGATAAAAATATCACCATCTATATTTATAGCATTAGTAAAAATACGTTTTTTTCCCGCCAATTCAAGGACAGGTGAAATCAGGACTAGAAGAGCCATCTATGGACAGAGATATTTCACAAAAATATAATGAGTACTGCATTTCCCCCATTTTTTGTTCATTTTCCCCGGCAGCAATGGGTTAACATATGCAAAAATATATACAATGACACATAGGCAGTATATATATCAATTTGAATAAATTTTACACATACATATTATAACTTTTGTATGTGAGAATCATCTGTATATGAAGATGAGAAGTTCCCTTAACCCCTTCACGATGGGTGATGCCGCTAGGCGTGAAAACAAACCGCTCAAAAAGTGGCGTGTGGCTGTACACCGCGGCAGCACGCCAAAGCGCGGCAAGCCGGTTATTCGGCCTGATGTACCGAACTCACACACTCAATCAATCAAATACCAATCAATCAATGCCAATTAATCAATCAAACACTAATTAATCAATCAAATACCAATCAATCAATCAAATACCAATCAATCAATACCAATTAATCAATCAAATCAATAACAATATTGTTTACCTGCCACTAGAATAGTGTTAACTCACCGTTGCCATGCCTATTATGTCCTTTAGTTTACTTTTGTTCACATATAAATGGCTCTAGAAGTGCTTAGTAACCAATGAGTCAATTACTAGTCCTACCGAACTCACCTGTTTAACCTTTACCTTGAGTTTCAGAAAGATTCTTTTCACTATTTATTGCTATTTGTATTGTCAATAACAGTATAATAACCACACCACCTACAATAACATCAATATCAATCAATAGCACTAGAAAAAACATTTTCCCATAATCTCAGCTGGGGACACATGCTTCCTAATTGTCTCCATGCTGGCTGAGTTCCCATGAAGCCATCTCTCTGCAAACAAAATTCACAAAAGAAAATGAGAGGAGAGTGTGTGATTACCCGGCAACATTGGATTAACCCCTTGGATCCAGGTGACGAGACCATGTCATGAAAAAATCTGGCTTGAGGGGCCGGTGACATGAACTTGCCATTACGGGAAAATTTGGCTGTAGGCCGGGTGACACAACCTGTTGTCCTGAC